CAGTAACTATTCAAGATGCCATTTTCAAAGGTATCTGCTGTTACAGGATGGGAGATGGGGCAGTGGCTCAGTTTTAAGTTTTAAATTCATACAAAAGAAACTCTTCCATCAATGGAGTTTTAAAATTCTATTTTGTACCTGGATGGAATTTTGTGTGACTAGTTTGGGCCAATGAATTACATGTAGAAATTATGTGTCTTCATTAGGTAGCTTAGAAATATATTCTCCCTGTTTTATGGTGAAGAATCAGAAGCTTGGAGAGGTTAAATGCCTGTCTGTTTTAGTTAGGATAAGTCAGGCTCATGCTACAGCAACAAACAATACAGAGAAGAAAGCCACCAGAGAGAACATGACCTAGCTCTCAAGGTAGGTGGAAAGAAAACACAGGCAGAACCTAAGTTTGCAGAGACTTTTGGAAGGAAGCAAAACTTTCCATTAAGATAGATGTATAAAATCTTGGGACATAAAGACTATAGTTTCAATAAGTACACTAACAAAATCCAAGCTTAGCAACAAAAATGTTTAAGTATAAATTGGACATTTTCGTGCAGCCTGTGTGCCAGAAAATGTTGAGCTCACCCATAAAGCCCCAGCCCCAAGAAGTGAATAACAATATCATCAGGGTCTCAGGAAGAGAAATGAGAGACAGACATCAGAGCCCCGAGTGGTGGTAATTTACATACAACACCCATTAAAGAGAATAAGTTTAATCATCTTCAACAAATCACTCTTTTTATAAAATCTTTATTAAACAACATCTCTTGGTAATTGTGATAATCAGATACCAGGGCCAAATGAATCTCATGAAATGCTGGAGTTATAATTCTGTGATCGAAGGTAGTGAAAGCCAGTGGCACATAATTCTGACTTGAGTAGTTTGTGTGTTGTACTTAGCTATGTTATTTTATTTTCTCAGTAACTTCATTAGGTAGCTAAGAAATATATTGTCCCTGTTTTGTGGTGAAGAATCAGAAGCTCAGAGAGGTTAAATGCCTGTTTTAGTTAGGATAAGTTAGGCTCGTGCTACAGTAACAGGCAATACAGACAGAAATAAAGAGTTTGCTTCTTCATTACACAAATCACCTCTCCGTGGCAGCTGTTCTTTACCATGGCTCAGCAGTCAAGTCTGTTTTCATTTTGTGCCTCTACCACATCAACATGAGGCCACCTTGTAGGTTGAGAAAGAGGTATCTGGGAAATTACCCAGGAGCTTTTCGCAGACGTAACCCAGAAGTGACACACATAATTTCTACTTGCAATTCATTGGCCCAAACTAGTCATATGATCCTATTTCAATGCAAAGTTGCTGGGAAGCTTTCCATGTTCCCAAGGAAGAGGCATTTGATATGAAATTAGTTTCAGTCACAGTGCCCAAGATTAAACAGCAAGTAAAGTGAAAGTGCTAAGATTTGGCCCAAGTCTGATACCAAGCCCAGTACTCTTTTTCTGACTCTATCTATACTAGAAGATAAGGATTGTGTTTTTGTGTTTCTAAGGCCCATATACCTGACATACAGAAAATGTTCAAAACAGTTCGTGGAACAGAAGGAAGAGAGGGAGTACAGAAGATATTTATTGCTTTTTACTTCATGATTGATATATTCTTTGATGCATAGTAGAGGATAGATATGATATAGTCATCTACAAAAGAAAGAGGGAGGGAAAGAGAGAAGAAATTAAGAAAAGAAATAAAAAAGATGACATGACTCTCATGAGGAGGAAATAGAGGCAAAAGGAATCTACTTGGAATGTAAATTGGTATGTACAATATGCTTCAAGTTCTTTGGCAGAGAGGTGAGATGTAAAGTAAATGTTACAGCAAAATTATTTAATAATAAGACTACCGTATTTCTTCCTCTCCATACAATTAACAGTAGAATCAAAGGTCTATGCTTTTACACAGCCCTTACAGGAAAAGCAGACATGGGCGAGCAGAAATAAATTAAGTATCTGCCATTGATTGTCATGGATAGCACCAGCTTATTGAGCTAATACTTTATTAGTGTGCTATAGCTTGGATCATGATGGTCTTTTTATTGTTTTTGTGGTAACTCTTTATTTTAAGTATCTTATCATTATGAATTCATTTAGTATTGATTGCAATAGCACTGATCATAAAGAATTAATTTGGCATTGCCATGAATGTCATATGCACTTATATGAGTTCAGCTATAATTCAAAATTAATTAATATGGGAAGGTATTATTGCTTTGCAACTTTGCAATCTTTTTAAATGTATCTAAGTTATTTTTGTTCAGCAGGTAAAATCTAGCACAAAATCTACAGAAGGCATTCTTTAAAGGGCAATTTCATTTAGTCATAAATAAGTGGGAAATCTGCCTTTAAAAAAATTCTTTATGTCTTAAAACATTTGACATTCCAGCCACAGAATTCAGTTATTGAAAGACTAAAGCCCTGTGTCCTAGAAAAAAGATCATGTCTGCTGGGTGTTCCTCCGTGCTAGGCAAGACTAGGGTGAGCAGCGTAATTGAGAGTTTGCCTCTCCTCAATGTCTTCTGTCTCTCACCAAGGATGATTTGTCCCTGTCAGAGCGAACAGCTCCCAGCAAAGGAACTCCATTTACTTATAATGATATTGAATTACCAGAAGGTACAATTCAGGACATACTTCTAGCAAGCTGACATTGTTGAACATAGGTATTAGTGGGAATCTGGTGTGGTTCAAGATCTAAACCAAGTGGCAACTGTCTGGAATGCCTGTCTTTGGCTTTCAGTTAAAATCCACTCCACTGCCTTCTGTGGCTGCTGCTGCTGCTCTGAACACAGTTGTGGTGGCATGTGTAGACCTACTGGGTTATGCTGCAGATGGCTGACCTTACATACATCTGTACTAGGGTGTCATTCCAGGATGGTAATGTCTTAAAATAATCTCCCTTCACCCACTCCCTGTTGAGAAAATCTTCAAGGATTCTCATCATCTGCATTAAAATGTCATTTAGATCCAATAGAACAATCCATTTCTCCACCAAGGATTCATCATGAGGCAACCCAACACACAGGATCACTCTGACTGCATAAAATATTAGAGTTTTAGTGGAGAGGTAGGCTCTGAGGAATAATCTGGCACATGGGGACTGCCCAAGAGGCAGACCAATGAGGAAGGCCACTGTGGTAGGCCCTAAAATCCCAGGGGCCATAGAACTTACTGAGAAGAGGCAGAGGAGCACATGTAACTAAAATGGAACCTTGAAGACAAATTTTGGCCAAGGACAGTACAAGATTAGACAAAAAAAGCAGGCCAGAGACCAGCTAAGGGGGCTTAGCCCAGGTGAAGTCAGCAGAGAGCAGCTGGGCATTAGAAAACTCCCGGGGCCCTGCAACAGCTGAGGCCTCCCTGTTCTCAGTGGAGACGCTATTGAAAATGAACTCAGAATATAAAGTAGAAGGTCAGCAACCAAATTGATCTGGAGGGGGAATAGGCGTATGCCCCTAATGACTTAGTTAGTATCTAGGTAGGCAGGATGTGCCCTGGGCAGAGCCCAGAGCCAAGGCAGCATATATAAGCAAGACAGAACCATTGAAAGTCATAGTAGAGCTGCTTGTGGCATCCCGAGGAGGGGACGTGCTGCAAAGTGAGCTAAGGATGCCAGATATAAAGAGACTAGTCCCAGAGTGACCAGCAATTTCTGGAATATTACTACAACATTTTTCTTAGTAGTCCTAAATCTGCTTTACTAAAAGCACCTTTGGTGATATCAAAAATTGGTTTTCTCTTGTAGCTTTCAAATGCACCCTGTGAGGATACCCAGGTTCAGAGTCAAAATCAGGCAGCTTCAGGCAGCTCCTCCAAGCTGCTCACCTGACTGTACAAGCCCTTCCTTCTTCTAACTTCCACTGTGCTTTCACTTGGGGAAATCATGAAACTAGAAAGAAGCCACACCTTTCACTGGCCAAACCCTTTCTTACAGTCATGGACAAATGTAATTATCACCCTTGTCCTAGGTAGTAAATACCAGTAGTTTTTTAATTGGTATAAACAAAGGTTGTTCTATTCCTCGGTCTGATACAAAAAAGATATATATAAAAGTCTATTCTTGACTTCCTAATTACTGATACTTTCTTTGTGTCAGTTAATAGCACACTGCAAATCACACAGCTGCTGAACAGAAAATTCTGAAGTCCAGAAACCGCCTGTCCCACCAGATCAGTTCAAGGTTTCAGGAAACGGGTAAACTGAAACAAACTGAAGCGACTTGGCTCTTAAATGTCGTACATTAGCACATCCTTTGATTATAGGTGTCTCGGGGTGTCTCGGGGGCAGTGACACCCCACTTGCTAATAAACACAAGTCAGCACTTCAAGGAGCCTATGTGAGCATATGCATTCACCCTTAAAAATTAGCAGAGGATGTCATGGAGATAAGGGGGCATTCTCTATTTGTGCTATGGGAAGCAATAATGGAGATTTACAGTTCTTCAATATAGCATAGGATTCCCAGAATGCTGACTAACGGAACCACTCGGAGGTTTATTGATGCACTGCTGTATTGGAAACACAGGTTTATTAATAAATAGCTACACGAGAGTATAAGAGGCAAAGGAGATAGCACATGACGCCCCATGGCATGAAAAGCAGGAAGCCCTCGTGAAAAAGCATGTGGCTTGAGAAATGTGACCAGGAGATGAACTGCAGAGATCAACTTATAAACTTAAATATTCAGGGAAAACATTCAAGGGGAATCTATGCTAACAGAGCCTTTTCCTTCTGTTTGCAGGTTTTAATAGCCACAAATGTCTCTTAGCATTTCTCTCCCTTAGGAGGACAATATCTGAGTGCTGACATCAATTTCTTTAAATTATACTGGCAAAAGATAAACAAAGCTCAAGATATAGAAATATATTTTCCACTGGGGGGGGAAAAAAAAGGAAAAACACACACACACACACTGAAACCAAATCCTCATATTTCTTGGCTCACAGTAGCAGGCTGACTAGTTACCCAAAATGAGCTTACTGCAAAATCACTCTGTTCTCACCACAGGCACAATTTACCAACTGGGTGCAGCAGACACCGGGCTGGCTCCTGAACTTCTCTTCTCCAATTAAGCTCCACAACCTGTTACCATTTTGCCAATGGACTCTATTTACTTAGGTTCTGCTTAACTTGCCAAGTGCTCACTCTGTGGAATTCCCAGCAAAGAGGAAAGAACAATTGGGGGAAATTTTTGTTAACATCCTTTCTTTTAACTTTCCGTAGCGGAGGGGAAGGCATCAACGTGGAGCAGATGTGCTGAGACCAAATGCTCTCTTCCCCATGATTACGGTTGGTTATACCTGTGGATAGGCAAGCTAATTCTGCTGCAAATGTGCAAGAGAGGGTAGTACTGACGTACAATGTGCGGCCCTGGAGGCTTTGTTCCCACGTAATAGGGTGCTTCGTTTCACAGGACCTGGCACGTTCAGAAGAGAACTGAAGCAAAACAGCCCCGTGCAGTTGGAACCGTGAGCTCCCTCTGTACTGTTCAGAGAGTGCCCCAATTCTCAGAAATGTTGACATAAATATTGTGGAATTTCTTATTTTGACTTGGAAAGTAATGATTCTTTCTACTTAATGTGCTCAGCGCCTCAGCACCCTATTGTTTTCTGCCATTTGAAAATGCCCGAGGATGTCATTATAACTACGTGTATCAATATTAAACCTTTACAAACAGTTGACTAAAATGAGCTGTTATTATCTTTGTTTCTGAAAACAGTGTACCTTTTTACTTCATTTATCAGTAACTAGGTGTAGTCGATTGCAGCCTGGTATTGATCCCAATATCTATACCCGTCACAGACTACCTTTCTTCAAGGTCATTGTAAGGTCAGGTTATGATCAATAGGAATTGACTGTCTGCAAATAAATTTATGTAGCTGACATAATTGCAAGTAATACCTTTTTCAAATTAAGGTGGACCATTTTATGAAGCACATGTGTTTGAAACATTAATGGTAATATCACCTAACTCTGCATAATGAACCGGCCTTGCCATAATTTACAAGCCCTCTTTGTGTAACCGAAAGCTGCACAAACTCCCCCCAACAGCCATTTCTAAACAACACCTGCAGAGTTTCAAGCTAAGGGTTTCGAGTGGAGGCTAATGATATTTTCCAAGCAATGGTATTTTCATAGGTAGCATTTTATTTTCCAGTCTTGAAGTCTCATTTCCATCATTGCTATTTCAAAGTTTGGTAGAATGTTTAGTCGTCCTAATCAGAGGACCATGTGTGATAAGCCCAACTTTCTTGAGTAGAAACAGTATTATCAAAATGAAGAGTGAATTCCTATGCGCTCTCCCTACTATGGGCCCCTCACACTGCAGGGAGACGCACTTGTGATCAGCCTGCTAGCCACTGGATGTCACTGATGCTTACACAAATGAAGCTTAAGGGGCATTTCTCTGACTGTAAAAATCATGACTTCGGTAGAAAGCAGTTTAGCTAGAAACATTTCACTCAGGCAATTTCTAATTTCAGAAAAATAGGCTCATAAAGCTCACAAAGGCGATACCCAACTTCAAGCGTGATTAGTTTCAGTTGTTTGTTTCAGCTTTAACTGGGATATGAATAAACAGCGAGTTTTGGGGGTGCATTCCATTTTTTGACAGCAGCTGCCATTCTGCTTTTAAAGGGACACTACCCAATCAGGCTTGTGGCATCCCGAAATACTTACCAGCAAGTCCAAAAACAGTAACTTACAAAATATTTTTAATTCTATAATTATTGCGGCCTTTTTTGTTGTTTAACACAATGTACCTACATTTAACTGTTTTCATGAGAACACATTCTTAGTTTTTAAATCACAGATTAATTGAAGCACTTAAAATGTACTTCTTTTAGTAGAAATGATTTGAATTCAGATTTTAAACTAGAAGTAGGACTTTGAAAAGCATAATTAATGATGACAAGTGTCAGGAAAACACCACTGAATGAATTATAAAGTGGCTTCTCTTTCTAGGACCCATCAGGGAAACCAATCAGATCTATCAGTAGATGGTCTACAGTGGAAATATGAAAAGATGCAGTGGATCGGGAAGCCCTAACAGAATGAGGATGTGTGTCTTCTGTCTTGAATATAGACACAAAGCATATGGAGTATGTGAGTGGCGTGGAGAAAAGGCACAATACAAGAGCAAAGAGTTATGACAAATGACATCGCAACAGACATGCCGCCATCCCAGAGCTTGAGCCATTTGAGAAGCTATTTTGAATTAATAACGCATGCCATCATGATTACATTTGCTTAGCAGAAACATTTTAAGAAATAACAGCCTGCAAGAGGAAACTGAAACAATAGCTCTCTATCTTTATATAACATATAATTGCCATTTTTCATCAGAGAGGAAAGACTCAAAATTCATAGTAACTAAAGCCTAGGTTCTTATTTTTAGGTGACTATAGAGTTGCTTATGTAGCAAAATAAATTTTATACTCCCCTTAAAAGTATTATATTACTAAAAATATAAATTCTTGGAGACTAGATCACCACTCATAGCTCATATGGTTAGAGCTGAAGTTGGGGCAAGGAGAGGAAAAGTAGTTAAATTCAATCAACTTTGTGTACAAGCAACTCAGGGAAGGCTAAGGTAGCTATGTGATCACAAAAGCAGGCCATTATCATCTCCCCCCACCCCAAAAAAAATCTTGAAAATACATATATGTGCATTTGGGCAACTTTATCTGTCACTAAGATGATTAAAAAGCAAAACTCTCTATCCAAATAGTGAAGGCCAAGCAAATATGTCACAAATGCTCACAGTTCAGGTAGCCAGAACACCTGGAATCACATCTTTAGGCAATTTGGAGCTTGGCAAAAGGCAGAAAGATAACACTGTTGGGGTTCTCTCACTCTCTCTTAAACTATGTTTCCACCTTAAATAAATTAAAGCATGCAGCAGCAGTAGGTAAGGTGGTCAATGCAATTAAATTCAAAACCTGAATGTATTGAACTTTCTGCAATTATACATGGGTCATCTCTGGACAATATGTTGGCCATCTGGTAGCATCTGTGCCGTTCCCTCTAATAGAGTTCCTGCTGTGGCTCGAGGCCATGGCAGGCAGTGCTAAGCAGGTCACATGTTGTGTCTTTCAGCCATATTTAGGTCACAATTTGGGATGGGAGGAGGCAGGAATTATCTTTTTGCACAAAGGCAATAAAACTGAATAATCCCTTGTAGGTATCTTGTGCTTTGTTAAAGAGGGGAAGGTTTTACAGTTTTGTTCCATGCTTCATCCCAAGTTGCTCAAAGGATAAAACAAAATATCATATGCTAATGCTAAACATTTGTCTGTAAGCTTCTTTTTCACACACACACACACACACGCACACGCACACACACAATGGTCTTTTAAAGTGATGGTATATCTGTCTTTTGTTTTGTTGTTTTTATTTACAAAAGGGAGGGACAAAAGAGGAAATGCAAAATCTTTTAATCAGTCTTTAGGTAATGGATAGAACACAGAATGATCTAGAATGCTGGGTGTATTCTAGAACAGTTTTCTTGGGAGAGGGATGTCTATATATATATATATATATATATATATATATGCTTATCTTTTAAAAGGAGTTGTAAATTACACTATACACATATATTTTATCTTCCTCTAGATAACTGTTGAAAGCTTGCATCCTATTAGTTGACTCACAAAATGTTTAAACTGACACAGGCAATGTTTAAATGTGTATAACAGTCTCAGCAACACAGGAAAAAAGGAAGCTTTTTTTCCAAAGTAAAATCATTCTAGACATGTGAATAGGAAATAACAAGTCCTATTAAATATTACTTTTGACATCAGTATAAAGTTTCCATCTAGCATATTTACTGATTGCTCCCCCAAACAACTACAGCATGCACATTTTTAAAGTGTGAACCTTACACATATTGTCCAAGTCCACTTGATATAGATTTTAAAATGCAATATGGACAAGAGTCAAGTCCGACATAAGCAATTCCAGTTTGACATCAATTAGTGAGTAGCTTTTACTCTTATAGACATATTTATAATGGAAAAGAGTGCATTTAGACTTTAAGGTCCTGCCAACTAATCAATTTGATGAACTAATTGATAATAAATGTTAATTGACAACTAACAGCAGTCAATTAATTGCATTTCAAATGCAGCTCCAGGAAGCTGAGTTCAACATTATTCTACCTCAAGCTACTCAAATAATAGCTCAGCAATGACTTTGCAACAGGCTAGAAAGGTCAAAATGGGCTAGCCTTTTCTTTATGAGGGGTCCAGGGATCCCAGGGCACAGGTTTACCGAACCCGCAGCAGCTGTGCCCGAAGCTCCCCTCGCTGCCTCAGGGCTTAGCCTCACCCTAGGAGACAGTTTGCTGGCTTCGGAAATGTCTCCTGCGGCATTTTCCCTTTAGTTACAATGTGGAAAGCCAATACTCAACTCCAAAGAATCGGTGGATTCTGCCAGTTATATGATCTGTCTCTCTGACAGAGCCACTTAAGTAAAAGCTAGACTGAGATTTCAGGGCAGTTCTTTTTAGTTGTGGGTGTTTGTAGCAGGAAAGATATGCCACCTTTTCTGAGCTCCTATGATTACACAGAGTCAAAGAACGAGTGGGGTGGGCAACTAGTGAATCTGGTACAATTCAACCTTGAAAAGTGTTGTCAGAATTTAAACGTCTTGCCCAGCTGTCGTGGCTCAGTGATTAAACATCGACCTAGGATCCAAGAGATCGGGGTTCGATTCCGGGTCAGGGCACATGCCCGGGCTGCAGGCTCCATCTCCAGTAGGGGGCATGCAGAAGGCAGCTGATCAATGACTCTCTCATCATTGATGTTTCTATCTCTCTCTCTCCCTCTCCTTTCTCTCTCTGAAATCAATAAAGAAATATTAAAAAAAAAAAAAGAATTTAAACATTTTTCATTTTAGTTCATTGATACATACTAAAACCGTCACGATTTTAATCTCAAAACTATGCCTGTAATCTAAAAATCAAACTCATTTATAAATGTAATGAAGGTCTCACTGACCTTTTAGACCAGGGACTTTGCACTTTCTTTTTGATTTGCCAAAAATGTTCTTTCCTATGCGGTCTCGTGACTGATGCCTTTACTTCATTCAGACCTCTGCTCACATGGCACCTCCTCAGAGGGGGCCACCTTGGCCATTCCACCCCCAGCCGGCACACAATCCTACCTTTGCTCGCTTTCTGTTCTCTTATGTTGCTTTATTTTCCTTCACAGCTCATATCACCACTTGCAGTCTCTCGCTTATTTATCACTGACCTTCTTCAACTTAAATGTAAACTCCATGGAGGGACTTAGCACCATTCACTGTGTATCCCTGGTGCCTAAATAGCACCTCATGGTGGGTCATCAGTAC